GTTTCCCTACTTGGTCCAGCTTCCACACGGAAGTGTCTTTATCATTCCACCAGACGGTGATCATATTACCAATACCCCAAGTCATTTGTCCTTTTGCACTCAGTTGTCTGACGGGGTAAGGTCTGGACACCTCAAATCTTTTTAACTGACTCCAAGCCATACACAGTAACAATCGGGGTGCTGATGGAGCTTGGAGATTAAAGTTCCATTATTGATTTGGAAGGTTTCTATTGTGCTTCCCTTAACCACTTATCCGGTGTGGGTTTCTGTAAAAAAGCACAGAACATGTAATATGCCGTGTAACCCTCGTATCCCTTTAAATGCATGGCATCTTTCCACTGAGGCTGTTCCTCTGTTTCAACCAAGTACAGAGAGGGCCCAAATTAATCTCAAATTGGCCCAGGACCTGACCACGCTCCTTTGGGAAATTTTTAATTTGGAGCTGGTTCAATCATAATGATAACGTGGCTTCCAATTTGCCATTGTTTGATATCGCTGCTTTCATCAAATGCCTGGTTCATGTTTTGCTGTGCTGCAGCTGCTCCTCGAGCGGTGCCCAACCAATATTTAAAGCTGGTCACCCAGGTGGCGGTTGCCAGTGCTGTAATTGTTTCCCAATCTGGGAGCTACAGCAAGTTTTCCCAGCCAGGCTTAGGTCTCCCAAAGAGTATTTCATAGGCACTAAATCCTGTCATGCGGTTTGGGCGGCCTCGGATCCTCATTAGAACCCAGGGAAGTGCCACGTCCCAATTTGTTCCCAGCTCATTACACACTTTAGACAGTTCAATTTCAAGAGCTTTATTCATCCTTTCCACCTCTCCCCCAGCTTGAGGGTGGTAGGGGACGTGTGACGGTAGGGGAATCCCGGCCCAGGTCCCCATACTTCGGTAGCCCTGTCCGATAAAGGTGGGCCCATTGTCAGAATCAGTGCTGTGTGGCAGCCCCCATCTTGGAAAAATTTCAGCTATTAACATTTTTGCAGCTGCAGCACTATTTTCTTTTTCTATTTTTATTTTCTATCCATTTGCTAAAACTATCCACAATTACCAACAACAATCTGTTTCCCCAAGGAGTAGTAGGCAAGGGTCCTACAAAAGCAACCTGTAAACGTTGGAAGGGGCCTTTTAACGCTTGATGCATTAACTCTCCACACAGGGCTGGCGCTTCCACTAGGCGACCCTAGGCGGTCGCATAGGGCGGCAGGATTTGGGGGGCGGCATTTTGCCACCCTCGGCGGAAATTCGGCGGCAGGGGGTCCTTCCGCTCCGGGTCTTCGGTGGAAATTCGGCAGTGGGTCCTTCACTCACTCCGGGACCCGCCGCCGAAGTGCCCCGAAGACCCGGAGTGGAAGGACCCCCCTCTGCCGAATGCTCAGAGGAGGAGCGCTGCCACCTAGGGCAGCAAAAACCCTGGCGCCACTCCTGTCTCCATGTCTTTTTCTTCTAGCAGGGTCTTGCTTAGCACATGTTAAACAGCTATGAATATGCAGGTTTAAATCCTCTTTCACTCCAGGCCACCATCCCAGTTTTTTAGTTTTTCTAATGCCTCTTCCTGTTTTGGATCACCTCCCACAATTGAACCATGTATCCATCCTAAAAGGAGGTACTGCATCTGCTGATGGATTTCCAGAACCCATTTATTTTCTGGTTTTGCCAGAATTAGGTCTCCCTCCTTTCTCATGATACAAGGACTTATGTCTCAGGACCTCATCTTAATTTCATTTGGTGACCCCTAGTGTGACGCTATCTGATTAAAATATGACCATATAGATCATTGTTGGAACCACCGTTCTACATTTGCACCAAATCTTGTACAAAGGTTGTCAAGTGAGATGTCTATGAAAAGGTCATGATTTGCTGGTTATGATGATGCTATCTGTATGCATGGATCATTTTTGTATGTGAAGTTATAAGTATTGGCTCTATACCTGGATTTCAAATGTTGGCTCCTGGGGTAACGCCCACAAGGTAGTGCCCAGCTCATCTTGGAGGGACTATTCAAGTTAAGTGGTTCATCAAGAAACACTTGGTTGACAATGTTCTATGGGAGACGCCCACCTACACTGAGTGGACTGTCATGTAAACGTGCTGTCTGGAGTGTAGATAATGGCTTCCTGCAATGACTGAGGGAAATTGGCCATGAACATGTGACTTGCCCATGTGACTCCAAACTCCCTCTGGTTGCTGTAATTTTCCACAGTAAGAACAATGGGATGCCCTCCACATGGCAAAAGCTATAAAAGGCCCTGGAAACACCTCCATTTTGTCTTCAATCCTGCTTCTTGCCTCTGGAGGAACTTTGCTGCAAACTGAAGCTCTGAACAAAGGACTGAATGACCCATCCAAGCTGTGAGTGTACTCCAGAGACTTGATTTGAGCCAGCAGTTTATCCCATCACTGCTACAAGCCTGAACCAAGAACTTTGCCAATATTGTATGTGATTGATTCCATTTAACCAACTGTAACTCTCACTTTTCTTTCTTTCTTTTTATAAGTAAACCTTTAGATTTTAGATACTAAAGGATTGGCATCAGCATGATTTTGGGGTAAGATCTAAGTTATATATTGACCTGGGTGTGTGGCTGGTCCTTTGGGATCAGAAGAAGCTATTATTTGATTAGACTGGTTGTAAAGAACCACTCATCTCTGAATCCAGTGGTTTTGGTGGTGATATAAGAACCGGGGTGCCTGAGGAAACTGCCTTTATGTGTTCTTGTTAGCCAGTGTGGTGAAACAGGAGTTTACTTTTGTGGCTGGTTTGATAAATCTAATAAAAGAATAACCACCAGTTCTGGGTTGTGTTTGCCTATTTCTCAGCAGTTCGTCCTGAATTTGGCATCCTCAGCTGTGACCCACTAAGGCCCAGTTACACCTAGTCCTTGTGTTAGGAGAAGGAGTAAATAACATTTCCTTCTTTACTTTCTCCACACCAGTCATGATTTTACAGACCGCTATCATATCCCCCCTTAGTTGTCTCTTTTCCAAGCTGAAATGTCCCAGTCTTATTAATCTCACCTCATATGGCCGCCGTTCCAGACCCCTCATCATTTTGTTGATAAACTTTTGGGCTAAAGCACTACCAAATGTAAAAGGATCACAGTGTGACTCATAGTACGAGATAGTCCTTGTCCCAAGCAGCTTACATGTTGAACAGACCAAAAAAAAGGGAATGGTTGCAGGATTCAACATAAGGCAAAGTAGTCACCCCATGTGAAGATGAGCCCACCTGTTGTTAACTCCATGAATGTTGTTATTATTTGCCCTCAGTCAAGCAACACCATGGGATTTAAAATGCAGCTTATTCTGAGCTGGAGTTCACCTGACTCTTCGAAAACAGGATGTGTGCAAAATGCATCGCTGAATTTCCTGTTTAAAGCTGAGATTCTCCTGCCGCTACAGCTCTTGGAGAGAAAATCGAGACAATCTGCATCCCCCTGTGTCTGTGCAATTAACAGCAAATTCCCATGAGAGCTCTCCTCAGAATCAGAGGGATGCTATTATGGCTTGATATTGCATCCTTTCTAGTGGTTCTCACATATAATTTCATTCCTGCAGACATGAGAGATGCCCAAGTATTATTAGAGAAGTCTCCATGTCTCTTTTTTACTATCCAGGGATCCAGCCACAATTAGAATTTGTGGCATCTGGTGGAGAAGTTAAAATGCTCAGGGACTCTCTCTGGATCTCCTGCAAAACCTCTGGATTCAGTTTTGGTGATTATGGGATGACCTGGTACAGAAAAACACCTGGAAAGGGACTGGAGTGGCTCTCAACCATTAGTCATTGGGCTGGAGGTACAAAAAATTATGCTGCTTCAGTGAAAGGCCAATTCACCATCTCTGGGCACAGTCCCAACAACCTGTTGTATTTGCCAGGGCCGGCTCCAGGCACCAGCTTGCCAAGCAGGTGCTTGGGGCGGCCACTCCGGAGAGGGGCGGCACGTCCAGCTATTCGGCGGCAATTCGGCGGACGGTCCCTCACTCCCGCTCGGAGCGAAGGACCTTCTGCCGAATTGTCGCCGCAGATCGCGTTCGCGGCTTTTTTTTTTTTTTTTTTTTTTT